ACTTTTATCCTAGTTAATTGAATTTTATTAGTTCAATATAATAAAATACTAACTCAAAATTATAAATTAATACCTCTGTAATATTATGATCAATGAAGTACACATTTTGTGTTATTCCAATAACATTTGGTAAATTACACGTATGTTCACTACTTTCCAATTGATCAGTAATGGATGGTAGGACTAATGACATTATTTCTGGTCGCATTCTGAATTGTTTAATAAGTCTATTTAAAGGTAAACCATTATTTATTGTTCGTTCCATAAGTGTTTGATTAAAATTATAAGTTTTTGATAATGTGTATGATGATGTCTTTGGACGTTCTACCTTATGATCTCCTAAAATAATTAAAATAAAAGTTAATAAATAATAAAGTAATACTACCTATTTGTTAGGTAGGATAAATTCTAAACAAAACAAAAGTTAAATTAATTTTTATTTATAAAAAGAAAGATCAAAAGTTATAAATTAGTAAAGAAATGTTTTGGAAACAACTTCATAGTACATAGGTAGTATTAGTTTATACAATTATATGTGATAACGGGTTAAGTAATAGTTGCTTGTGGACAGTGGCGCCGAAGTCCTAAAAATTTAGTCGGGCAAAAAATATTTGTAACGGCCCCAATATTTAAATATCAGCCCCAATGGCGTACATGAAAGGGTGGAGGACCGAGGAGGTATTAGTTTTTACCTAAAAATTATTGATGTTCAGTTTTAAAAGAAAATTTAAATCACACTTTTTGTAATCCCCACCAACTAAGACGGATTAGAGACGATTTTGTTTGTTTCTGAAAACGGCCCCATGCTAAATTTTCAAAAGATGTCGGGCCAAGGCCCGATCTCAATATAGGGTTCGGCGCCACTGCTTGTGGACTTGTTTTAGCTGACAAGGCATAAAAATTATTAATAATAAAATTATTAAATTTATTATTTAATTACCCCAGTAACTTCAAATAATTATAATACAATCTAAGCATCCTTTAAGAGGACGCTACACTCACATTCGTTGTCTCCGTCTTACAAGTGCGTAACATAGCAAATTGTAGGCTCCGCAGATCACGTTTATCTCCTTTAGTTTAACAGTTAGAGTAAATTGACCTCTTATTAAATTTAAAGGTAAGATTATTATCGAGAGCATCTCATATCCTTTTTATTATATTTTAATTTTAGAGCGAATTATTACTATTTTAAAATTGTAAATTGTTTGTACATCTTAAAATACACGATATTCGTTTTAAAATTAAAATATAATAAAATGCCTGTGAGATGCCCTCAACAATAATCTTACCTTTATATTTAATAAGCGGTCAATTCACTTCAACTTTTAAACTAACGGAGATAAACGTGACCTGCAGAGTGTAAAATTTGATATGTTACGCGTTTGTAAGACGGAGACAACACATGCGGGTGTGGCGTCCTCTTAAGTAGAGTACATTGCTTTGCTAATAAAGTGAATACTGAATATTAATTTCTCTACTTTCAGGCAAATCCATAAAAAGTGACATGTCACTGCCATTCCATAGCATTAAATTTTTGATTGTAAAAAAAAGGTGCTCGTGCCATAATATCGGCGGCCCTGGGAATATTTTATTTATCCCAAAGCTTGATAGAAAAAGTTAGAATTATATTTATATTTATACATTTACAAAGAAGATCTTATTTAAATTACTCCTTGTTCCAGAGTCGGCAAACTAAATAAATAACTATGCTCCTAATTTGAATATTAAATGTATAAACAATATATATATATTTTTTTACAACTTTCTAAAACTGTACCATTCGTTAGAGTATTTAATACGATTTAATATCAATGATGATACTTAACATAAATTCATTAACTATGAATAAATAAAACTTAACTTAGTAAAAAGCTAAAAAAAAATAAATAAAACATAACATTTTATAAAAATTTACCAATTAGAATCAAATGTTGACAATGCTCAGTCAATGATGCAACTATGAACGGTTCTAATGTCTCTGTTCCTTCTTCCACAATAACTAAACAAAACAATAGTACATAATCTAATTAAAATTAATTAATTTATCAATTTATATTTTAGAATGCTACTAAGTTTAAACTTTAAAGTAATGTATCTATTTCTTTGAATAAACATGTTTATCAAAATTAAATTAATTTAAAAATAGCCTTTAATATTATAATTTTATAATTGGAAAAAGAAATAAATTAAGAAATAGTATAAATAACAATAAAGACATAAATTTAACTGAATTAATTAATTCTATTGTATTTTATACTATAATATTTGATAGTATTTCAATTAAAATAAAATCATGGTTATATTTATTTTTTAATTAAATAGAATATATTTTAATTCTTATAAAGGTACTTACCAATCGGAGGTTTTAAACGTTCTAATAAATCTTTGTTTTTTACTGCTCCAGTAGTGGTAAGTCCAATTACATAAATATCATCTAATAAATTCATAGTTTGTGCCAATCTATCCTCATCGAGTTTTTTACATAAGTCATTATACTCATGCCATGTTGGAATTAAAATATTTTTATAATCACTAACAATTACATGTACCCATTTATAGTATAACACCCATCTTTGATCAGCTGGAATTAAATGAATATCATCCACAACGATTGGACTTTCTTCTGAGTTATCAAAAGATAACATGTACTCAAAGTATTCATAAAATTTCTTCAGCATTGTCAACTGTTGTTTGATTTTTAATGAATGATATTCACTGCCTTCAGTAACTTGTTCTGTCAGTTCTGACAAACATTGTTTTATATCATCTAAAACGAGACAATGTTGAGAGCCTTGTACATGGTCTACTTTAAATTTTTTAAGCATCTTGTCCACAGGATATGGATGAAATAGCCAGTTAAGAAAATCCCAAGAATCTATAAAAGTGTTGAATGCCACTTTTGGTACCACAGTTTTCAAAATACTCCAATCCAGAATACCGGAATATAATTTATCACATTTCTCACAGCAATCTAAAATTGTTTGCTCTTTAATTTTTAAATTTTTTTCTAAGACATCATTTATTTTTAATTTGTTAAGTTTTACTATCTTCTTTAAACTATACTTCTTTAAAGCTTCACATTTTGATTGACTGCCAATTCTGACCAGCTTGTCAGTTATTTTTAAGATACCTTCTAAAAAATGATCTAATGCGAGGTTATTATTACAAATAACAGCAATAGGTTTATTTAGCCGTCCCGTTACATATAAATTTTCAATCATTGCTTTTACAACTCGTTGACCAATAAATGTTTTGCCTGAACCTGGAACACCTTGAATTAAAACATATTTATGGGTTAATGCTGCTTTAAATGCTTCATACTGACTGCTCTCTTGTTGCAGATAAATTTCTGTAGGCCATTCTTCATCATTCAAAATATTAAATTTGTAATCGTCAATATCATACTTTTGATAATTAATGTCATTTAAGTAATCAGGTGCACAGTGTTTGTTTGTGGCAAAAACTATATACTCTTTCAATGGAAGTGAGTTCATCTGTTGAAGAGCTTTTAGTGTCCAATTGTAAGGTACATAAAATTGTTCACACTGTGCCATTGATAAAATTGTGTTTGGTCTTATGTCAATATTATCAAGCATTTCTATTAATATTATCCCTTTTTGTAAGTATTCTATATCATCTTTCAGCACGAGTCCAGCAAAGAAAGTATTGAAATCATCTTTAGAAAATAGTAGTAAGAACCCATTTATAAACAAATTTATGTTGTATGCATTGGGATCAAATTTAAATATAAAACCTAATTTGTTTGCAAAAAACTCCCTAGAACCATCAAACAATACATTACTGCATACCATATTAGTGCCGACTGTAGTTTTATTTTTACGGTAATACTGTACAGCTTTTCTTAATGGATGAATAAAATCTTCACGTAAGAGATGAAATTGTGTGTCTAAATAATGGTCTTCAGACTTGTATGGACCTTTATCAAGGTTGAACGGTAAATGTTTTACATAGTCAATATCATTTATCGTTGGATGAATATATTGTGTTCTGAATGATTTATAGAACTCTCCAGGAAGCTCTCCCATTTTTGTCTAAAATAAAATTAGAAATTAATGTCATGAATATTGATAACAGTAGTTAGATAAATTAGGTTAAAAATATTTACATAGGTACTTTAACTTACCAAGAGTTGTAATAGTTGATTTTGATTTTTGAATGTAACTAAAAAATTTAAATATTAAGAAATTTACTATATTTTATAGTAATAGGTAAAACTTTAGTTTAATTCATATCAATTAAAAATTTAAATTATAATCATCACAATCGATATTAAACGTCTATTATTGCCTAATGGCTATAATAGTGTATATTAATTATTACAACGCATGATGTCATTATAGCCCTTAAAAAGCTCATTCATAATTTCAGAACTTATCATCAATCATCATACTATTATATTATATATGATTCTCGTATCGTGATTAGAACGTTATTATCACAGAATATTCCGTGTTATTATCACGAACGTATGTTATCGACCGCAAACTTCTATACTACCATACTACTACCAAGGGCTATAAGTTGTGCTTCATGATTATAAAGAATACTTCAATAAATTCTTCATTTCTTTATAATCGTATCCTGCTTTGAACATAATTATATAGTTATTAATTATTATATTATAATCCAATGGTGTAGTCTAGAAATCTGTGGTTATCAACAATTTTATTTTTACAACAGCTGTTTAGACTTGAACTTTTTATCATTGAACGCATAAATCGTCAACTTAAGATAATATTTTACCGATTTCAATTTTTTTTATACTACTATAGGTATTAGGTGGTCATAGTTGTGATAAGTATTGAACTGGTTACAGATTTCGTGTCTAGAGTCTACAGACTCTACAGGCTTCAACAGTTCAACATAATCGCGTTCTTGATATTTTTGTTTATCTATTAATCTGTGCTTTATATTAAAATATATAATTTTAATAAATTTAAGAAAACACTAATAAACATGTGTTCAATAAACGCATAACAATGGAGAATTTATCAAAATCATTTGACAGTTTTTTAAAAAACAAATTTTTTCGATTTGGATTGCCATTTATGTTGTTGGTTGTTGGTGGATCATTTGGCCTAAGAGAATTTTCACAGATTCGATATGATCATCGGAAGGTTAAGTTCATCAGTCCAGAAGAACTTAGAAAACAAGGTATTGAAATGAAACCTCGAGGCAGCGTCACAATAGAAACTGAGTATAAAAAACTTATAGAACAAGTTAATCTTGACAATTATGAGAATAAAAGAATACCGAGACCACCTGGATTTGAAGACTGAAATAAAACTATATCTATTAAGGAATTGTTTTAGTATGTTTTTATTCTAACAAATAAATGTGTTATAATATATTATATCAACTATGCTAATTTTGTTTTACTTCAATCATCTGTTCAAGTAAAGTCATCAATGTTGTAAACCTTTCTTGTATCTGTAAATTAAAGAATACATTAATATTACATGATGTTTAATATGCATAAAGATAGTCATACCTCAGATACTGATCTCTGTGGTATTCGCCTATTGATTGTCTCCAATAATACTTCAATGTCTTCAACTCTTTTACAAGTTTGTAGTATAATTTTATCTTCATCTATTGTCCATTTGTTTATCAAATGTTTTTCAGTTTCATTATTGTCTCGTTTGTCACTTACATTTACATAACATTCAGATAAATTATCAATAGCTTCACTTTTTATTGTTATATTTTCATGTAGTAACGTTGTATTGATATCAGATGTTGTAGTAGCAAACAATTTACAGTCTGTTAACTTAGTTGAGATATTTTGATCACCACATTGTTTCTCATTGCTAAGGTTACTGATGTCCAAGTCTTCATCAAACTCTTTTTTAATATGAAGGTTATTTGATTCTTCTAAACCTTTCTGGTATATTTTATCAGCCGATTGGGTACAATTTTCAGAAAGATCACTGTTAGTAATATTGTTGGGAAAGTTTACTTTGATTTGGTTTGGTATTTGGTATTGCTCACATTTAATGTCTACATCGGGTACATTATTAATAGTCACAGGTGAAGGTGAAAAATTTAATTCTTTTTTGATTTCTTTTGATTCATCAATAATATAATTTTTATCCGAACCGACCTCAGATTTAATTTCCATACTTTTTTCAAATACATCAGAATTTAAATCATCTAAACTTTCAGACTTGATTTGATTTATAATCTCATAATCCTTTAGTATAGCATTTTCTTTAATGTCAACTTTTAATTTCTTTTTGGGTATAATTTTGACACTAGATTCTGCTTTAGGAATACAAAAAAATACCATTTCACTGCTTTTTAATTCTTCATTAGTAACATGAACAATAGATTTTCCTGTTTCAACACACGGTTCTTGCTCATCTTTACATTTAGGATTTTCATATTTTTTATACTTAAGCTTTAAAGACTGCACTACCTTTGATTTTTGTCGTTTTTTTGGTTTCACATCAATCAAATCTTCTTCAGATTCTATAAATGTAATAAATATAAGTTTTAAAAATATTATCACAAGTACAAATGTAAAATGACAACTAACCTGTTCCTGTGCTGCCTTTAATATCTTCTGCTGAGCCAGGAGAACTATTTTTAATCAAACTCTTTCTATTTTTTTGCTTGACTGTAGTATTTTCTTTTGTTTTATCAATTTTAGACTGTACAATAGATGAGTCAGCTCCTTCAAAATTTATTTTTGCTAATTTCAATCCTTCTAGAGTATCAAAATAGATACGACCTTTAAAAAACTTATAAAAAAAAAGGAATTTAGTTTTTATTACATTCTACATTTTAATAGATAAATGTATTATTATGTTAAAATTAGTTTTGTTTTACTCAACTATACAATTTAAATAATATTAACTGTACCCATATAAAAATTATTAGTTTTATGTAATGGTGAATTATTAAAACTGAATGAAATACTTCATAATTATTAATTAATATGTGTACTATTTTAATAGTCAGGATAACCAGAAAATAGCAATGACTTAATATTTTACAAACAAGGACAATATTTCTAGTTAATGCAAATTAATCATAAATAATGAGTCTAAAATTAAATACAACTAATAACTATTGTAAGATTGCCAAATCAAATTCAATACATTCAAATTTGCCATAATAAATGGTGAACACATTCAAACAACAGATGTTAAATAATGTAAGCTTTATGAAATACATCATATCACCCAATAGAATTTTGAAAAAAATAGAAGAATATTTAATATATTTAATGTCAGTAATATAAAATTTGTTATTCAATCTCAGTTCTAACTTGTCATAATATTATCTAATAATGCCATCCTAATTAAATAAGTTAAACATTTCATCTTCCATAGTTCCATATAGGTATTACAATTTAAAACAATTATAGGCTTTTCATTTAATCTGTTTTTTTCTGTATAATGGTAGAAATGTAATAACAAATTTAAATTTCTATATAAAAAAATTCAATAATACTTCTTATTACATCTACCAAATATCATTGATTACAAAAACTTCAAGTATTTAGTACCAATAGTTTTTATAATCAATTTTAATATTAAATACAATGTCTAGAAGTGTCTATAAGATTTTGTTTAAAAATATTTTCGTAAAGCTATTAATGGTACTGGTAACCATGGTAACTAATGAAAAATATTACAGAAATTAAGAAGACGCCACATGTACATGTATTGTCTCGGTCTTACACGTACAAAACATACGAAACACGCGAAACACAGTCGGAGTATAAATCGTTCTATTTGGTTCTAGAGTAAAAATACCTATTATAAAATTGAATTGTGACAATATTTCTATTTGTTATAGAAAGTTGTTGCGTTTTTTCCATTATACCCAATATAAAGTTCATAATAACATTATAACAATTTTTGCTATTTCTAAATGTTATAAAATAGCAAAAATTTCAACATCTTTAAAATCCTATAACTTTTCCAAATTTAGGTCTTGCCCTCCAAAATATTATCATCTTTTAATTTTGAAATAGGTGTTTTTATTTTAACACGATAATTGAGCTTAGATCGCGTAAACACGTTATGTCTATGTTGTAGGTGTGTAAGACCGAGACAACACATGCGCGTTTGACATTATCTTAAAGAGAATTTTAATAAGACATAAACAAATAAAAATTTAAGTTAAATATTTAAAAGAAAGTATAGATACTTTTAGTCCACAGGATCTACAATGTGTATTATCTCCAGGTTTATGACACATACAATGGCATATATTTAATTGTGTATGATCTTCTGAATCTGATGGAATTATTTCTTCATAATCTATTCCACAGTTAATACTTTGATCAATATCCAAATCTTCCCAATTATCGTCAGAAAAAAAGCTAAAATTGTATTCAACCAATTAGCAACGCCAAGAAATTGAAATGTAATACTGTTATTGCATACCTTTCAGGAGGATGTTCTGTTGGAATTAATTGAAAAAAACAATCAACTAAAATTGGATTACTTTTTAATAAAGGAAGCATAGCTGTATGTACTTCAAATGGAGTAATATTTTCACTTTTTGATAAATGAAACAAATTGTTTAATATTTTACGGACTTGAGTTGGTTGTTTTTTCATGCAAACCTATTAAAAATTAATAATTATTAAAATGATTACTCAACATAGAGAAGTCACATACTTGTAATTTTCTAATAAATTCTTTTATTCTAGTTAATTCTAGATAATCTGTGAACTTCCCAATTGATAAAGCTTGTCCTGGAAGTAAAAATCCTAAAAATTCATAGATTAAATCATCGTTTTTATCCGTTAATACTTCTGTTATTTGTTCGTATAAAAGATTAATATTGCTATCATCGGCGTCCCCAAAAGATGCTAAAAGTTTTATGGCTAGATCAAATGATTCTGTATCTAATCTTTCTCGCATTTTTTTCATATATCCCTCAGCATAATCTATAAAAAAAAAACATATATATATAGTTTAGTATTAAAAATAATACCTAATTGTCAGAAAAAAAAATCTTTGAAAATTACAAAGAAAAAATTTGTATCTGATAACTATATAGCTAATTCTTTTCTTTTTTTTCTACCTAAATATTTTGTTTATTATTAATTAATATAGTATAAAATTAACATAATTAATGAAAATAAATGATACCTTGAGCATATTGTGAGTATGATTGGTCATTTTCAGGAAAAATTGCAGCCAAAGCAGTCTCATATTTTTTTTTTTTCTTCAAAATATTTGAGTTAGAAATATCACTTTTACGTTTAGGAGTACGATGATCGGATTCTGAAGTGTTCTATAAAGTGTATACAATTTATAAATAATGTAACATTAGCAGTGGCACACTTTGGAGGGTTCAAGGGTAGCAGCTACTACCCCTGATTTTTTTGGTGGGTGGTTGGGTTGACCCCTGGTCCTGAAATATTACATCATAAAAATTCTGCTACAAATAAAAATATTAAAATTAAACTATTCAATATAACTGATTCAGAATGCTACCCTATTTATTATTGAGTGTACAAAATGTTCTGAATAATGGGTTATTTTCGAGGTTATTTTACACAATCTAAATTATTTTCAATGTACCTTTTTAATATTTATGTGTTTGATTGATCTGAAAAACAAACAATGGAGCTAGTGTAAGCAAGTAGGTGGATAGATACTGAGATTTTATGTTGCTACTTACTTCATATTATTATTAGTAGTCTCAAGATGAACATCATTAACAATCTTGAGTTCCTCTATACCATCAATCTGGCACTGATCCATTATCGTATTATTATTAAGCCTATGCAATACCAAATGTATTCGAGTAAAATAAAAATAGGTACCTAAATACCGTATTTCGAATTACAATTTACAAATTTACAATTATTATAGCTAAGTACAAATTACTATTTGTTTTTGTTGGCATTACTTAAGTCTGAAAACATTTTCAACTTTTTTAACTCGTATCTGTAGTTGCATTTGTATGATAACTGAACAGCTGTTTTTCCTTATAATACTAATTACTACTTTGCTATCTCACTAGTCACAACTGTTTCCAGGAAATTATCATTATTTTTCTAATACTATAATACTATTTATTATGTTACATACGCTATACACATTACATTTTTTGATAGATACCAATTATTATAAAAAAAGTACTCAATGTAATTAATGTCCAATTAATAAGTAAGATGCAATTTTTTTGATCGACAGTTTGATTTATTTAAGGTATATTAGCCAGTCCAAAAACACTTGTTAAGGGATCATGTTTCTTGAATTAAACAAATAAAGTAAGTACCTACTTATTTTAAACATAAACCTTAATAGGTATATATTTTAATATCAAACATCATATTTGTAAATATCTTAAAATAGATTGTAAAGTAATATTTGTAATTTATATAATGGACACTTAATTAATACATGGCATTCATGTATTTTGAATTTTCTTTAATTAATCATTTACCAAATATTGTATTCATAATAAGGTACATTAACGGTATTATCTATAGAAACGTGTAAATATGCAATCCAAGCACTTACTAAATAAATGACTAAAATTAATTTAGGTAATATACCTAAAAATACTATCAGTTTATCTGAAAAAAATAATTATATAGGTACATTGTTTTCAATATTACATATATAGTCATTAATTATTTTCCATGCAAGGTCCAATAAAATAATAATAATTGATTGTCTGAAATTTACATTATAAAGATAAAGAGGTACCTAGGTGATTATACTAATTAGGTAGGTATTCAGATTAAATTCTTACTTTTTTACTTAAGAACTGACAACCGTTTTTAAATTACAAAACCTATCTAATTTATCTAAAATACTAAATCTATTTTTATTACATGTGTTTTACTTTTACATTTTTATAAAACTTAAAAGTATAGTTTATGTTTATTTTATGAAATATATAAAAAAAAAAATTTAGGCTACAACTGGGAAACTGTGGATTTTAAGATTATTTGGACCTCAAGTCACTAATTTTAAATGTAGTTTCAAACTATGTTACTCTTATTACCAATTACATAGTTTGACGTATGATATCAGAAGGTTTTTCTGAGATACAGGTATAAGTGACGATTGCGGAAAGGGGCTTGAGAGGACTAGACACCACCCCTCCCCTAAAGTTTTAAATAAAAATTGTCATACTCGCAAAATGTATTTTCAATAGCTTGGGATGATCATAAGTTTAATACTAACCTTAAGTGGTTTTGTATCAACAGTCATCCTTATCGCATTGGGTTTGGTGGAAATACATAATAATATAACATTTTTTTGACTAATTTTTGAGCACAATCAATAAGTTATAATTTAATTAATTGATTAACTTCATAGTTTTTGTTTAAAATACTTTTAAAATATTGAAGAGTAGGCACCTAAGTGTTTTTATACTTAAGTTAAATTGTTTAGTTTGTAAAATTTTGTAAGTTGCCTTGTTAGAGTTAATAATATGTGTATCTAGATCCTATAAGGAACAGGGAGTATACTATATATGTGTAATGAGCACTAAGGTCAGCCCCCCCTTAGTAATTTAACCACATTTTTGCTCATGGAAATAAACCAAAAAAAGTATGAAAAATATGACCATTAATAACAATATGGGTTATACATTTTAATATATATATTTATCCCATCGTCTTAACTAACTTTTTTCAATTCTCTTGAAAATTATTGAAATCAAAAATTGCATATTTGGTATTTAAGAACCATAATATTATGTATTCAATCTTCAATATAAAGAGCTAATACTGGAAATATTTGTTTGTCAATTGCAACCGAAAACAAAAAAATACAGTATGAATACATTAATACCCTAAAGCTTCCAAGCTCTGTTTAATTTTAAAAACCCAATAAACTTAATATCAGGTTAAAAAATAATTATAAGACACTCTATTTTTATAAATTTAAGTTGATTAGGTACACGTTGCAGGGTAGTTATGATAGAAAAAAAAATTCTATAATGTAGATTTTAGTTGTTGTAACGATGAATTGATAATTTTTAGCTTACTTAGTATAGTTTTATCATTTTTGGCCTCAATTCTAATTTAATAGTTGCGATTTTCAATTAATTATTTTAATGTATTTTTACATTTATTTGATTTGTTTGGTGTCAAAAAATGTACTTATTCTGCCTAAATTCTCTATATATTCATTGACGTGCCATTTGCCACTTGACCTCAATTTTTTAATAAAGGAAACTTAGAAACAATGTTATGCATATTATTTTTATTGGCACTACATTTTTAATTATACTTTTATCCAAAATTTTGTTACATGTAATATTAAATTATTATAGCCGCATTTCATAATGATTTGCCACAATAAATGTTTAAGTACGAATAGACTAATTAATGTAAGTATGATATAATATATGATATTAATAAAAATAAGAATTTGATAATAATTTCAAAAGACATTGTTTTAGATAAATCAAATAAATACAAATTCAAATGCTTAATTTGTATTGATTTTATACTTATACATAGAAAGTGATAGTCTTAATTACCATGGGCATATTATTAGCTATCAATTAAATAAGATTGGGTAGATATTAAATCGTAAATAAACAAAAACCTACTTTCCAACTATACCTACGCATAATAATCATTAATGTGTTTTGTCGAATTTATCAATTAATTATAATCAACAATTTAAAAATGTTATGTCATGTAAGATGGTACAAAATTTGCCATAATTATCTTTATGAAATATTTTCAGATTATTCAGTTATAAATTATAAAGGGCGTATATTTAAAGTATGTTAGTATAACTGTTAATTTGAATGGATTAAAAAATTTACCTTTAGTTAATTAGAAGTGTTAAGTACATTTTGTTTGGTTAATAGATTTTACCATAGCCTATATCTTTTGAATGATGTCATATATTTATTTACTTAATAATCCTACCTAGATTAAATAGTCAAATATGTATAATGTATGTATAGTTTGATAGGCTAGGCACACCTCTTCAGGGATATTGATAAAGAAATTTTGATTGAAATAGGTATATTGTAAAACGTCATTCAGTGGGGGCATTCCAATGATCAATCGATTAGTTTTCAGCCAATAAGTGTTTCATACACCTGTAATAATAAACATAATATAATACAATTTCCATAATATTATTCCTAGTGAAAAGTTCCTAATTTATTTGATTATCTAATTATCTAATCGAAGGACAATACTTGTAATCCTATAATCTATATTAAGAACAAACATAATATTTTCTTTTTATTTCAATATCTAAAAGCTGTTTTTTTTTGTCATGTATTGAGTTAATTATGCCTAGGCTACAGTGGACATTTTAAATCAAATCATAGTTCTGTGTAGAACTATTTCCCATTGTCACTGAGCTAATGGAGCAGAAGCTATGGAAGCATTTTAAGTTATTTTCATTTTTTGAAAAGAATCAATGGCGATACCCAGGTAACATAGCATTACATATAGTACTATTATAAAATAATCTGTACTTAATACAGAATAGAAAAAGAAATTATTAGGGTAAATATAATGAATGAGAAAAATGTGTATAATACGTACCTATATTTGTATATGTAAACTAGGTTTTGTTGATTACCTATTTATTGCAAATAAAATAGTTACGGGATAAATGATAAAAAATATAATTGATAAATAAGTAAATTGGTTTTGAGATATGTAATTTTGCTATGTAAACAATATAATAAGTACTTGGATGTAATATAGTATATATATATATGTACATTATGCATATAATAATCTCAAACATTTTTAAAACTTAATTAAACATATATAATTAATTTTACTTACATTGTTGCTGTTATTGGTGGAAAAATGTTCATTATTATTATTTCATAAGCTGTTAATACAAACACAATGTCTATGGTCCTATGGAATATGATAATGCTTTTTATATTTAAATATATATAAATTAGTAAGTACTTCATTTTTAAATATTTATAATACCTATTACATTTTATGAAAACATCAATCCAACTATGAGTAACAGTGTCAATAACAAAAAACATTACCAATGATTAGGTAATAAAAATATTTATTATTTTCCACTGAAGTAACATTTTTTTTTATATGAAATAATAATATGTTTAATATGTTTAAAAGCGTGAATTACTCACATATAATCAATATTTTACTATTTCAATTCTTAAATAAATACTAGATTTAGAAAAATACAAGAAACATGAAGTTATATTTAAGTTGTGATTTTTATCAGATTTAATATATGAGTAGATAAAAGAAATTGGTGACATAATATATAAATTATTTTCTTACTTATTTATTTAGAACAAATAAAAAGTAATATAATGTAAGTTTTAATTGATGTTATGACTACATACAGTACCTCCAAGACATTTTTTTTTCTTATTTAGTAGTTAAAAAATATTTAGATATCTGATATACATTTATTATTGTCAGGTAATAATTTTAATATTGTTATGAATTTGCATGATAATTGTTATACATTAAGCAACACAATTTTCGTACAGATCAAATTATATAAGTATGTCAGACAATGAAAACCGTCAAAGTGTACCTGTCAACATTCGTTACACTCGAGGTTTCTCATTTTTACGTTTACAACTTCCATCAACCAATGAGTTTAGTGATTTGAGACGGCCTCAGAGATCACGTAGCCAGGGCTTCCTTACCGGGTTGTCAAAATCGTTTACCAATCATTTTCTATCACTGGTCCATTATATGATGATAGCCCATTACCACCTACTGATACTACAAACCAAAAGGTTCAGCTTTGCAAATTTCAGA